TACAAATCGCTTAGTATGTCTGAAGAAATGCTTGTATAGTCAAAACTTACCACAGAAAAAGTAAAATGCCACAAGGAGTGGTAGGGATTGGGGCTAACTGGAAAATATATACCCTAAAATTGGCATCCTCATGAAAATATAGTAGAGTAGGTAATAAACCATGCCATCCATCCATCCACCCATCCATCTACCTACCTACCTACCTACCTACCTACCTACCTACCTACCTACCTACCTACATGAGGAATTGAACTCAGGACCTTATGCTTGAAATGCAGGTGCTTGTGTCGCTGAACTGCATCACTGGCTTATACCATGGCTTTTATGTATTTGGAATAGAGTCTCACTACGCAGCTTGGACTTGTAGTGATCCTCCTGTTTTCAGCCTCCCCAGTGCTGGGATTATAGGCATGCGCCACCATGCTCAGCCTTGGTGGCCAGCTCATTGTGCCCGGACTTGGGGCTGGCATGGTATGTGGTACCAGGGATCGAACCTGGGTCCTTGTGCTTGCCTAAGCAGGCACTTGCACTGCAGAGCTATTTCTGCAGCCCTACACCATGATTTTTTTTCTTTTTTTGAATATAGCTTCAGAGGTCTCACTGAGATTAATCTCTCTCCAAGTGAGCCCAGAGCCTCAGAAGCATCCACCATGTAGTTCTTTTTTTACATAAAATTCATTTTAAAATGAGTTTTATATAGAAAAAAAGCAGTGTTTAGCATCCTTGCCCCAGGCCACATATTCCCAACTCTTGTCCTCTTGCTGCAGCCCCGCTAGTGTAGTGTTCACCCATCTGAGACCAATAAAAGACCTCACCTAGCACCATGCTCAAGGGGCACACATATATGTAGGATGTGGCAAATGGGAGGAAACTGAGGAAGCTGGTCAAGCCTGGCCCTTGCAGGAGGAGCTCTTGAAACCAATAGGCCAAACAACAGTGGCTTAGCAGTGCTCTAGAAATTGTAATAGAGAGGCCATAAGAGTGCCTCAGAAAAAGCTATTTTGTTTTTGAAACCATTTTTATGTCATCCTACATTGTTACATAAATTAACTTTTTTTAATCAGGAAACCCAGTTTGAGATTAAAAATTAGTAATATCTTGATAGTTAAATAGAAAAATATACACAATGGAAACAAGTTATTAGAAAAATTTTCTCAATCTGTGTGTGTACCGGAGAGAAAACTTGGGGCCTTCACACTGAACTGCAACACTAGTCTTGTTTTTTTAAATTTGACATAGGTATTCCAAAATCATTAAGTTACCCAGTCTAGGCTGAACTTTTTTGCTTAATCTTGTATTTGTTTATTTGATACACGATCTTGCTACACAGCTCAGACTTGTAGTGATCCTCCTGCCTCCTCAGGGTTGGGATTACAGGTATGTGCGACCATGCCCCATTTCAGTGTTGGCACAGTGCTTGCAGGGCATGTGGTATTGGGGATCGAATCCAGTACTTGTGCTTGCCAGACAGGCACTTAGACTGCTAATCTATCTCCCCTGCCATAGGCTGAATTTCTGATCAGCCTACTTTAGTCTCCCAGGATGCAGTGATTATATGCAGGTGCCACCTCTCAAGTATATATATATATTTCTTTCTTTTTTTTTTGTGGTACCAGGGATTGAACTCAGAACCCTGCACTTGCCAGGCAAGCGCTTATTCTACTGAGCTATCTCCCTGGCCCAATATTCTTAATGTTAATGTTCAAGCAACTTATAGAAGGATGAGATCACAGAATGACTTAATATTTGAATAGTCTCATTTTTATGGAAATCTAATACATTTATTTATTTTTTAAAGAGAAAAACAAAACATTTTGAAAACAGGTTAGGGGTTAGAGAAATGGCTCAGTAGAATAAACACTTCCCTTGCAAGTGCAAGGGCCTGAGTTCAATCTCTGGTTCTGCCAAAAAAAAAAAAAAAAAGGAAGAAAGAAAACAGGTTAGCAGGAGAGTTATAATAATACATTGCCTATTGTTGTCTTTGTAGTAGTTATTTAGTATGCAAGACACAGGCATGATACCTTGTCCAAACAATATTAACACAAAATTTTCTTTACAATGAACTAAGAGAAACTAGCAGTATAACTACCTTATATAGCTAACTGTTTAACCTCTCTGTACAACTATATAACTATCTTGTATATAAATACATTTTTTTCTTTTTCTCCTTCCTTCCTTCCTCTTTCCCCATCACAGTTTGTTTTGTTTTTGAACTGTTCTTCCCAATTCACAATTTCTACTGTACATTTTGGACTGTATGCACTTGTACAGTTTCTCATATTAGTGAGACAAAGTATAATACATTTAAGTAATAAATTCTAAAACCGTAACATTCCAACATTTTTCATTAAAAACAATAACTACATATGTTGATAAATTTCTATTTTTTATAAACAAATATATTTCTTGACACTTCTGTACTAAAAAAACTATTACAAACTATCATGTATGCTCAAATATAATGCAAAGATTCAAAGATGCATATAAAAAGTGTGGGCGTAACTTTCATAAAGAACAGAAAAACATCTATTTCTAATTTAATACTTCTTGCTATACAATTATGTATAATCAAGTCAATTATATATGTAGGTAGGTATGATCAAAATAAAACTGAGTATTAGGGATGTTAGGTGTTTCATGACTACTCCAAAAACTTGTAAGTTAAATTGGCTGAGAAACCTTTTATAAAAAAAAAATACAAGATCTCTCGCTATGCTACCCCGGCTGGCTGTGAACTCCAGGCCTCAAGTAATTAGCTGTCAGTCTCCAATAACGGGGACTACAGATGTTCTGTCATCATGCCCAGCTAAGAAATGTGCTTCATGAGTAACATGCAGAACTGTATGTCTTAATGTATACACAGTATATATGATTTAAATTTTCTGCACTGAACAAACTAAGTTATTTGCTAACACACCTCTTGAACTGCTACTAATAGTGTTCTTTTCCTTCTTCACTCGTCTGTAAGATTGGTTCACAACAATCACTACTGATTTCTTCCAGTAAAGATGTCTTCCAAAAATAATTTTCATAGAGTAAATTTTAAGAAACTGTTTAACACATATGCAGCTGTTACTTTCAAATTATGTTAATTACTTGAAACAGTCACTTTCAACTGTCACATGTGTTAAAAATAGTTTCAGTTAAGTTCTAAGTTATGCAAATTATTCCACAAAAATTAGATTGCATTTCTGGAGAAAAGCCATGAGGCAGGCACTATAAAAAACTTTAGGAACTAAAATGAACAATTATTTTGAAATGTCTCCCTTATCAGGGCCAATGAATTTATACAGGCAAGGATTAATTAAAACCTAGACATATCATGCCCAATGGCATCCAAATAACTAAAGAAAGTTGAAGATATTTGAGCCATCAAATTAAGATACCAATCTAACACAACTTTCTACAATCACAGAAATATTTTCATATCTCATTCATCAGAAATGGTAGGTACTAGCCACATACAGCTTACGAGTTTTTGAAAATGGTTAGTATGACAGAGAAGGAACTGTGTTTTTAAATTTAATTTTAATTTAGGCATGCTAGTGGCTACCATTTGGACAGTACAGTTCTAGATTATCTATGATCCACATTAGGAGTTTACTAAATATGGAAGGGCTCCTGGAAATCAGAGGCTTAATAATTTTATCTTAGGGTACTTTGCGGTCAAATGTTTAAAAATAAATGAAGACCTTAATCCTAATCCTTACAATCAAATCAAATGGAAAAACATTTTACGTTGTAAAACCTATCACCATCAACAGAACTTGTACACCACAGCACACGCACTCTGCTTTGGTGCAGTTTTGTAATCACAGCAGACATTACTGACAGACACACACTACATAGACACAGACAACACAAGGGCTTACACCACAAATTCGTTATCTGCCACACATAAAAATAAGTGGCTTTGGAGAGGACAGATAACACTAGTCACTGTCATACCTCTACTCAGGAAGGCTTCTTAAAGGGGAGGGGCAAAAAAAAGAACATTTTAAATGTTTAACAATATATGTGTGTAAATGCACACAAACGCACACACACACCCCTCTGACAGGGACTAAAAGGAGTCCCCAATAAATCCCAAACCCAGTCTTAATAGTTATTAGTAAATAATCAAACTCCTTTCCTCTATATCCTTACCCACATACTTACCTTCACCAGGCATTGTTCTGAAGTAAATATCACATAGTATATCATGTATGGAGATTAAAAAAAAAAAAAACTTCCCCAAAGAAAGGGAATAAGGGTGCTTAATTTATCAGAAGGAAATAGTCTAGAAAAAAGAAATGATGTGTTGGGATTACAGTGAAGAAGAGATCTTTAGAGCATAGGCATGTGCTTCAGTTTAAAGCAGCAAGGACTTAGTATAGATTTCGGGGGGGGGGAAGAACTAATTAATGGAAATAAAGTTAATTTTTTTGATACCATGGCAATCTGACTTCAGAAGTACTAAGGATAAAAGCAAAAAATGAGGTTACTGCACTGCCCCAGCACTGTGCTTGTTTAAACAAACATCTTTCCCACATGCTAAAAAGGGACTGTTCCACCCATTTCGGAAAGGCTTCTCTGGTGAATATTTAACCATGGTTTACTTGGTTTTTCTCAATACTGAATTTTTCTTTGGGCCTCATATACAGAACAGTTACAGAATAATATAATCTTTTTTTATTCTTGTGAATAAATCACAAAAATATAAGATGACAATATCAATTTTAAAATCTGCTTAAGTTTTAATTTAAATTACTACCAATATAATTTTAAAATGAGCAATTAACATGTCGAATATAAAAGATCCCTAAATCAAAATAATGACTGAAGTTTAAGAAGTTGATTTTCATCTCTCTGGAAAGGGGGTAGGTGGGGGGGTGATAAGGGAAGAGTTGAATATGGGCAAAGACAGAAGAAAACATTTAATTTTAGAAAGGCTTTTCAAAAACAGAGAGAGAGGAGAAAAAAAAAAGGCAATTTTTAAAACTAAAAAAACCCCAGCTTACCTTTTTGGTTTTCTGGAAGTAGAGTTCAGGGAAAGCATGAAACCAGTAAGCCAACTGGGATATGTAGAAAAACTTCATTTGAAATCTGTATAAGAAAGCAAAAAAGTATCTTTTAAAGCATAGAACAAAACAAATACGGAAATCAGGAAACTTGCAACAGCTACTTTTGAGATCTCGTTTTGTACAATATCCCCGTATCTTTAAGCAATTCTTCAGCACTCACTTTTCCCTTCTGCCCTAGACACTCCTCACAATCAGTTGGTTCCCCTGTATTAACAGGCCAAGGCGCCTGTAGAAGGCTGCTCATATGCAAATTACATGGGGGGAGCCAGAACCCCCTTTTTGTTAATTAATATTGACTTAGGTCCTGTTGGCTACTGAAAGCACAAGGGACATGGCCAACACACCTCTGTATAAGGCTCATCAAAAGTGGAAATGAGGGGAAAAGACTGATGTGAAAGTGAAGGCAAAAAAATAATAAAAAAATAAAATAGGGCTGGCGAAATAGCTCAGCAGATTAAAGCCCTGCTTGTGAAGGGGGTGGGGGGGTTGGGTAAGGGGAGTCAGGGTGGGGTTTAATTTCCAGGCCCTGCCCCCAGGGCGCACTGAGGGCGAGACTGGGCATGGTGGCACGTGCCTGTAATCTCAGCACTTGGGACGCTGTAGACAGGAGAATCACTGTGAGTCCCATCCAGTAATGAGACCCTTAACATCCTGTAGACCCTTCCCTAAAATACAAAAACAAAGGTGAACGGACCTAGATTAATGATTGCCTAAAATGTGATAATCTCAATTTCATTTTCCCTTTAGGAAAATAGTAATTTTACCTAACTGAAACATAGAGAGCACTTAAACAGAGGCAGAGCCAGAATTAGAGGAATAAGGCACAAGATGATTCTCTAGAAGACGGAGCCTACATTAGTCTAGAATCAAGGCTCCTCTCTACATTATAGTTTCCCAGTCTTCCTGATGCCTCTTTATTTTCCCTTACCCTCTCCTCCTGAAGTCTAAAACAGAAGATTTGAAGCCACTTTGAAATAATACAGGAAGTGGAGGTTACAGTCCCGCATTAGTATGATGTTTGTGACCTCATTCTGTAGAAGTTTACTGAATATAATTTTTTAAGATCAAAGAATGAGAGGGCCAGCCAAATAGCTCAGTGGATTAAAACACCTTCAAGCAGGCTCAGGAGCCTGGGGTTCGATCCCCAGTGCCCCCCCTCCCTGCCAGCTCCTAGCTGAAAGGGCAATTAAGACTGGGCTTGGTGGCACGTGCCTGTAATCCCAGCTCTTAGGAGACTGTAAACAGACGGATCACTATGAGTTTGATCTAGTAGTGAGACCCTGAACACCCTGTAGGCCCTTCCCTAAAAAAAAAAAAAAAAAAAAAAAAAAATTGAAGGAGGCAGTGAAGTAGATATTATGGCTAGACTTAAAGATATGCACGGCTGTATTATTCCCTCTTTCCTTCAGATCTTTTGCTATAGTTCTCACATCATGATGTACATAGTGAGTACTGTCTTGGCGACAAGCACCTTACAGTGACTACTGCAAAGGTTATATAATGAAAACAAGAGATAGTCCATACTCCTAACGAGGAACATAGTGGGTACGGACACAACATAAAGACGAAAAAAAAAAACCCAAAAAAACCCATAAAGATGAGGCTACAAATTTTTTTTAAAAAAAGTCTCAATCCCTAAGTTTTTAGAAGGGAATAAAAATAAGAAACTGGGAGTGGAAAGGAGCAAAAGTCTGGAGATGGACTCATGAAGGGAAGAAAGGAAAAGCATGTCAAAATTAAGATCACTGCTAAAATCATTTGTTTGAGGCTAACATAGATGTTGAAAAGATACATAAAACACACAGCAACGTTTTTCTTGTGCCAGTGGGATTGCCAAGACACACCATTTTCACTTATCTTGTGCACTGTTTACCCTCCTAAGGAGGATAATGAGAGTGAGTTCTGCTTACTTGTAATAGAACCATGTGCTTGCCTGGCAAGAACAAGGTCAAGCTTGATTCCCAGTACAAAGAAAAAAAAAAAAAAAAAAAAATAAAACCTCAGTTAAAAATGACTTACGTCATGAGGTTATGGGGATAAGCCCTCCACAAGATCGTTGGGTCTGAGATGTAGTTTTCCTAAGACAGAAGACATGATTATTAGCCTCTGAGTATCAAGGAAAGATTTATAGTTTCCCATGGCAGACTCCAGTCAGCCCAGTTAAGCCTTTTTAGTTTAGTTGTTTTCAACAGGATTTGAATTGCTTATTTCAGCTAAGTAAAAAATCAATGAGAAAAACAGAAATCAAGAGCTAGTTTCTGACTGTCAATTATTTTTCAATTCAGTAGAGTAAAAATTATATGTATACAAATAAACATAAGCAATCAATAGTAATAGTATATAACAGAAGCAACAGCTATGAGAGGGACGAATTTTTCTCTAGGGTATTCTGAAAAGGATTTCAGGAAAAATAGATCTCCTGACAGGTTATAGGTTATTTTTATGGGGTTATGACCATAAAAACTACCCAAGGGAGCCAAGGAGATAGCTCAGTTGAGTAAGTGCTTCCCTGGCAAGCACAAGGGCCTAAGTTCAATCCTCAGTTCTGAAAAAAAAAAAAAAAAATCCTACCCAAATTTATCTTAGGTAACTAAATGTGTTCAGTAAAAATCATTATATGAAAAATAAAACCCTAAGGAGTTATCTTTAATAATTTTCCCATTGACTTTTTTTTTTTTGATTTTTGTATCAGCATATTACTATGATACATAGTAAGTACATTTATTTTGGGGAACGGTACATGTTTATTCCCCCTCCTCTCCCCTCTCTTCCGTTTTCCCTATCCACTTCCTATCCTTTCAAAGAACCAACTCTTTGATTCATTGATCCTTTGTATTGTTCACTGTTTAAGTCTCAATTCCATTAATTTTTTCTCCAATTTCTATGATTTCTTTCCTTCTATTTATACTGTTCTTTCTAGGTTCCTGACAAGTATCATTCTGTTATTTTATTTGCAACCACTCTATTCTTTATGTATGCATTACAGTTATAACCTTCCCTCTCACAAATGCTTTGTGTCCCACAGGTTTTGATATGTTATGCTTCCAATGACGTTTGATTCTAGAAATGACTTTCCTGATTTTTTCTGTCATCTACACCAATAATTCAGTAACTTTTATTTAAAGTACATGTGGCTGTATCATTTCTGTGGCCTTTTTTTGCTGCTGATTTCTAGCTTCATTCCAGCATGATCCAACAGAATGCACTGGGTTACAGTATTTCAATTCTTCTGTATTTACTTAAGCATGCTTTATGGTCTATTGTGGAAAAATTCCATGTACCATTGAGAAAAAAAAAGTGCATTCTGTTGTTGGATGAAACACTGTATACATCTGTTAAATTTATTTGTTGAACAGAGCCGCTGAACTGTGATGTTTGTTGATTTTTGTCTGGCTGACCTCACTGTGAGTGCAGTATTAAAAGCCCTGGTACTGTGACTGTACTGGTGTCTACCTACCCAGTTGAATGGAATACTGTTTCCACATTTTCACTTTCAGTCTATTTACATTGTTTTGGAAGAGGTGTGTCTCTTGTGAGCACTTTTCTTTTTTTATCCACTCTGCCAGTCTGTGTCTTCTGATTGGGGAATTGAGACTACTGACATTAAGGAGTTCATTGACTTGTTACTGTATCATCCTTCCATGGCTATCTTTTTTTTTTGTGGAACCGGGGATTAAACTCAGGCCATTGCGCTTACCAGGGAAGTGCTTATTCTACCGAGCCATCTCCCTGGCTCCTGATACTTATTTTTTTCTTTTATTTAAATATTTTCCGAGTAAGACGAATACTTTCCTTTGAGCTCTTTGTTGCTGATAGCCTCCCTGTCTCTATCAAAGATTCTATTACTCCCCCATCAATTTTGAAGGCTAATTTTGCAGGATATAAAAGCTTGAGTTGACCACTGTGTTCTTTTAGGGCTTGAAAAACTTTACTTCAGGCTCTCCTGGCCTTTAAGATTTACGAAGAGAAATCCAATTATTTGTATGGGCTTTCCTTTATAAGCTTACTTGTTTTTCTCTAATAGCTTTTAGTATTCTCTCCTTTTGCTGGATTTCTGGAATTTTCATTATGATGTGTCATGAAAGGTTCTTTTCTGGCCTTTTTAGGTTGCTATTTAGGGTTTTATATGCCTCTTGAATACAAGTTCTTTCCTAAGATAGGGGAAATTTTCTGCTGTGATTTCAGTGAATAAATTTTTTACATTTTTGAGTCATCTTCTAACTTTTCCCTTATTCCTATAACCATGCAGCAGTTATTGAATCCAACTTACATGGTGTCTCATTTTTAGGGTTATTACACTGAGTCTGTGCTCTTCTACATCTACCTTGACTTCTATTTCTAACACTATCCTCACACTGCTCGAGTCTGCTACCCATGCTTTCCACTAAACTTTTTGTATCAATCTCTTCTTTTCATAATTGTTTTCTGAAGCACTTATTCATGTTTTATATTATCTTGCTTAACTCCATTAGTTTGGTTTTTCTTCTTTAAACCTGTCAAATATTTTGGTAAAAATACTTTTATCTGTTTACTTAAATCCTGTTGGAACATCTTATGCATTTGTTTACATTTTCCTTCTTTTCTTTAAATATTTTGTTTTTGTTTTTTTAAAATTTATTTATTTGTGTGTGTGTATGTGTGTGTGTGTGGCCAGCTCAGCCCACCAGGGGGCGGGGCTGGCTGGCATGTGGTGCTGGGGGATTGAAACGTGGTCCCTGTGCTCTGCTAAGCTTGTTCTAAGTAGGTGCTTTAGACCACTGAGCCATCTCACCAGCCCTCTTTAAATATTTTGACTATGCGATTTTTGAGTTCTTTTCTTGCAGCTTCCTCTACTTTAGTGTCCATGGGATCAGCTTTTGTAGAATTAGGCATTATAGGGGACATTTTGTTGCCTTGCTTTCTTATGTTTCCATTGGTTCTGTTCTGAGTTAAACATCAGAGAAATTGTCACTACTGTGGAGATCCTAAGTTTGGTCTCCCTGTGAAATATCCTTGGGGTTAGTTGTTTTAGTGTTTAGCATATTTGTATGTCTTCTTGTCTCCAGCCTTCTGGGTTGCTTAATATCCAGTACTAGATGTATTTGAAAAGACAGGACCTCTTCCCCTAGGAAGTAGGTTTAGCACTGCAGTGCATTTTCCCACATTGTTTTCTCTTTCATGTTTTTAAAAAATTAATAGGACATATTTTCATACTATATTCTGGAAGCTGGGCTTGAACTCTTAATCCTCTTGCCTTAGTTTTGTATCTGGGATTACAGATATGTTCCACTGCATCCACATTATAAAAAGATTTTAGGCAAGAAGTTTACATATATCTATAAAGTATTATTAAAATAGCTGAGGGCTGGGGAGGTAGCTCAGTGGCTTAAGTACCTGCCTAGCAAGCATAACGATCTGAGTTTGATCCCTAATATCACCAAAAAATAAAAAATAAAATAGCGGAGCTAAATGCATTGAGCACTGAATTGAAAAGTTACAATCTATCTCCAACATTAAGAGTTGTACCTGAGAAAATATACTGTCAGCTACGTATCTTAACATGTTAAAAAAATAATTATGTATTCAACTAATTTAAAAGTATATAAACTATGGGACACAATATAAATGAGGGGATGTTATTACAAATAATAAAGTTGATACTGCCTTCCCGCTCCACAGTAATAAAACTGGAGGTTTTTATTTCATTATCCTCAAAATTATTTTATGTTGTTTGGAAAACAGCTGGATTATTCTTTAAGGAGACAACTAAAAACTTTATAGTATGACCTGCTAACAGTATCACCAACATATTTTTTGCTAATATACAGATACCTAAAAATGACTACAAAATATAAAAATAACATCTATGGTGACTAAAAATGTGTAAGGTTTCCTGAAACAGTGAAGAGCTTAGACTGTTACTATTAGAAATTGAAAGAGAAATTTATCACTTAAATTCTTAATTTATACTAGTCCTTCATCACAGTTCTTAGTTTCATATGTGAAAAGAGAACAATACTAAGAAGGATATACTTACAGAGATTAGAATGAATGTACCCCAAACACAAGCAAAAAGGTAGAATGCACTAAGCTGACCAGATTCATTAAACTTGCTGTGTTTCGTTTTGGAGAAGTGCATTCGCCTGTTAATTTTCTAAAAAATAAAAACATCTATTAGTAATAAAGAATAAATTATACTTAATATATGACTGTCATAGAATGGAGAATTAGTGCTTTACAAAGTACAGATTTCTCAGATTAAATACTTACATCCAACACATACTCTTGAATTACGGCATGAACAATTATTGCCACTAGCATGTAGAAGAAAACTGTAGCCAAATCTTTGATACCATAGTAATAAAGGGATGCTGGTTCTGTAGCTTGTTCTTCTGAAAGTCAAAAAGGACACACACACATACACAAATATACATAGGGTTATGAAAACAGCACTAGTACAACATAGTTGTGGAAACAAATGAGAATGCTAACCTAGTAAACTTTTACAGAAAAATTAAAGGTAATTTACTCTTTGCTATCTTGAGTTTTAGGGGGCAATGAAAACTGAAAGACTTTTAAAACCTGAAACTTCAGAAATTACTTACGAAGACTTGACACATGGCAGTAACAACTATGAAAGACCAACAAACAAAAGAGGGAAGGCTGCACTCAATAAACTAATATTGTCACAGGGGAATATTTCATGTTCATAAAGTTATACTGGGCCTATTTGCCTGTTTTTTTTTCAGAGAACTTCAATTTCTCCTTCAAACTGGATACTATGATTCTGAGAGGAACTGATCTGACCTTTGATTTAGTTTTGATTTATAAGTAGTGACAGAAGCAACTGCTATTTAAAAGTTTTATATTTATATATTTATTTAGGTACTAGAGATCAAATCAAAGAGCATTCTACAACTGAGCCCCATTCCTAGTCCTTTTTATGTTTTACTGTCCACTAAATTCCCATTTGTACTTGAAATCCTACTTTAGTTTCCCAAAGTATGGGAATTATAGGTATGTGCAGTTGGGTCTGGATTAAACTTTAAGTCTTTGCTATTGCTTTAATTTTTTAAAATAAATCTTAAATGCTTATAAATTGCTGATACTTGTTCTCAAGCTTAATGTTTATGGGAACCATTTAGATAAGCTTTATATTCTTCTTTGGCATATTCTTTTTTAAAAAATGTATTTAGTACAGGGTCTACAGGGTCTCACTACACAGATCAGATTCATAGTGATTATTTTCAGCCTCCCAAGCACTGATGTTACAGGTGCATGCTACCACGCCCAGTCTCAATCACTGCCTCAGTGCGCCCTGGGGGTGGGGCAAGCATAGCTCGTGGGCGATCAAACCTCAGTCCCCGTGCCTGCCTAAGCAGGTGCTTTAGTCCACTGAGCTATCTGGCTGGCCTTTCTCTGGCATATTCTAATTTATAATTACTGTAGTTTTCACTATCCTGATATGTAAGTTACTGAATCTACAAAAACTGTATGTAACTGACCAGAACCTACTCCATGTTGTGTATCTGATCATATATTCTAAATAGAAAAACCTCAGAGCTGGTTTGTTGCCTGACTAGGTTCCTATTTTGTTAACCAAACATTCCATTCCTCACTTATGCTAGTTAATTATAGTACTGTATCTAACCACAATCAATTTCCCATAACAATTTTTTACAACATAATTTAGAAATAAAAATGTTTGAAGTAAAAATCACAAGTGTAGTTTATAATTTCTAGAGTATGCTGATATTCTCTCAAATCAATGTAATTAATAGAGGCAGAGCACAACAAAAACATGAAAGTAAGCTTAAAAAGATTGCTATTCAAGGTCTAAATGTAATCTGGAGGTCCATAAAAATGTAGCCTGAACATTGTCTGTAGAAGCCTTGAAGAACAATGACACTAAATATACTTCAACTATTTAATTTTTAGAATTTTATGGAAATATAGGAAGTCAGAGAAGGCAATTAAGAAGTTCTTTGACAGAATTTTAAGCCCTCTCACAAAAATATACAGTTGAACAAAAACATCAGATTTTTGATGTACAAAATCAAAGTAATATTCAGTGTAGTCACAGATGAGATTAACACAAAATCTAGTTTTAATGAGTATTTCCAACTTTGTTCAATTTAACTTCTAATTAAATAGAAAATTCTTAAAGAAAATTGCTTACCTGATGCAGGGAGGGTAACATTGTATTGAAGAGTAACAAAAATGATAGAAGCTTTTGCTGTTATCTACAAAGAAAGAAGAAGAAAAATAGGAGTCATTTTCTTCTCTCTTTTTTTTTTTTTTCATTTTATGTATCTGTTACAGGGTCTCACTACATAGATCAGACTTGAAGTGATCCTCCTGTTTTTCAGCCTTTGCATCATTGGGATTACAGACGTGTGTCACCATGCTTGGGCTCGTTCACTGGCTCCATGTGCCCTGTGGGTGGGGCTGGCGTAGTATGCAGGACCCAGGATCCAACCCTGGTTGGTCCCTGCACTTGGCAAAGCAGGCACTTAATCTGCTGAGCTATCTCACCGGCCCAAGGAGTCATTTTTGACCTTCCTTAAAGAAGCAGACCAATTCTGTCCCCAAGTCTGAGAACCAAGGACAGCTTAATTCCTGGGCACACTGATAGGCACAAAGAGAATTTCTGGTAATTTACCCAAGTATTCTTCTGAAATTTAGACAAGGTTATGTAACTCATCTCTAAGATTTCAAAAATAATGATTCTCTACTCTAGAGCTATGCAATGAAAGTAAAGATCTTATCAAGAAAAATTTTAGATGTCAATTTAAAAAAAGGGGGAGGAAAGTTAGCATGATAAAGACAGAAAAATGCTGGGCTTATCTTCCAAACCCTTGGTACAGTTTAGTGATCAATAAATGTTTAACTGATTTGACTATTGATATAAGCAGTCAGAAGTAAAAAATTAAATGCTTACTAAACATTATAGGTACCAGGCACAATGCTAGACAAGAAAGGCTAAAGAATGATGAATGAAGTAATAACTGATGACAAGGAGTTCAACTGTCTCTGGAAGACAGGTAAGCAAACTTACAATACTGTAAAAATTGGTATCAACACTGTTCACTGAGAATTCTGGATAAATGATGAACTTGCACTGTTGGAAAACCTTGCTACTTAGATCTCAGTTCAATGACATTAAAGGAATCTTCTCTGACTTCCTAAATCAGGGTACATCCTTTGTCATTTCTTCAGAGAACTGTACTCCTTTCCTTTAAAACAAATACTCTACTATGATTCTATTAATTTGTCAACCCATTACAAAGTAAACTCTAGAAGTGCTGGGGATATGCTTGTGCCTCATGCCACTTAGGTTCAGTGCTAGCACTGGGTCTGGCATGTATAAGACAACTGATTAATACTACCAATTAATTAGAATAAGCATGCAAACCGAAGATGAGGGATCTTAAAGAGACCAGATAACCAGGGCCTGCAGTGCTGGCCCCAACCCTGGGTCAAGCTGAGATAGCAATTGAGACTGGCATGGCAGCGCGTGCCTGTAATCCCAGCTCTTGGGAGGCTGTAAACACTGAACACCCTGCAGACCCTTCCCTAAAAAAAAAAAAAAAAAGGCCAGATAAAGGCTTAAATTCAGATAGTGGTAGTGGGATAAAAAAGCACTTTAGAGGTATTATAAGGCTTGTTAAGCAAGAGTATGTTAAAGATTACTGACTGATGGCCACGGTTTGTACAACTGAAAAGTAGTAGTATTATTAAAAATGTGGAACAGAAGAACAGCAAGTGTAGGGTAACAAAGAAGAAACTGAGTTTTGGACAAACTGACCAATATTCCCATGAGAAACATCGGTGGAAAGAGCCGCAGGCAGCTTAAACCTAAGTCTAGAACTAAAGGCTGGTTCCCAACTGGTAGCATTACTGGGAGTCTGGCACTGCATCCTCTGAAGTGATTCTGAACTCTGATCTGTCTCTCACTTCCCTGACATGAAGTGAATAAATTTGGATCCATCATGTATTCTGTATCATTACGTGCTGCTTTGTCAAGGGACCAAAATCAATAGGATCATCTGAAAATAGACTAAAACTTCCAAAACTGTGAGCCAAAACTAACCTTTTCTGCTATAAACTAGTTATCTTAGGTATTTGTTAGAGTAACACAAAGCTGACTAATATAGTGCCCAAACTAAGAAATGGTCAGAGAGGTAAAAAGGGAACAAAGACAGGCTGGTATCCCAAAAGCCAAGCAGGAAAAATTTTAGAAGCGCATGTTAACAAAGTCAAGCGCTTCCCTGGCAAGCGCAAGGGCCTGAGTTCAATCCCCGGTTCCACAAAAAAAAAAAAAAAAAAAAAAAAAAAAACAAAGTCAGAGTTTCAAAACAGATGTGCCAAGAGAGCGCAGCAGATTGAATTACTTAAGAAGTCACCAGTATCCATGGTCTGAATAAGTCCAATAAAGTACCGAGAGGAGCAAACAGATGCAGATGACTGAAGAACATAAAAGGACAAAACAGTGCCTACTAGATACTAGGTCAAGACTTATGTAGTGCTCTTTCCCATCTTGCAAGATGGTGGGTGAAAAATCTGAGAAGTCAGACACTAAAGAGAAGAAACCTGAAGCCAAGTAGTCTGTTGCAAGTTGCACTGGTAAAAAGGGAAAGGTGAAGGCAGAAAAGTGCAAGAAGGGGCAGTTCCACTGCAGCCAAAATCCTGTCCTGGTTAGAGGAATAGGTAGATACTCCCAATCTGCTATGTATTCCAGAAAGTACACAGCTGCTAAATTGGAGGTTGAGAAGAAAAGCAAAATTCTTGCTATGATCAAAAAACCAGTCAGTAGGGATAAGAATGGAGGTACCCGGGTGGTTAAGCTTCAAAAAATGCCTAGATATTACCCTACTGAAGATGTGCCCCAAAAGCTCTTGAGCCACGGCAAGAAACCCTTCAGTCAGAATGTGAGGAACCTTCGAGCTAGCATCACTCCCGGCACTGTCTTGATCATCTTCACTGGCCGTCCCAGATGCAAGAGAGTCGTCTTCCTGACACAGCTGGCTAGTGCCTTGCTACTTGTGATTGGGCCTCTTAGCCTTAATCATGTTCCTCTACAGAGAACACAGCAGAAATCTGTCATTGCCACCTCTACAAAAACTGTTATCAGCAAAGTGAAAATCCCCAAACACCTCACTGATGCTTACTTCAAGAAGCAGCTATGGAAACCCAGACACTAGGAGGGTGAGATCTTCAACACTGAGAAAAAGAGACCAGATTTCACAGCAGCGCAAGGTGGATCAGAAAGCGATGGACTCACAGATTTTAGCAAAAATCAAAGCTATTCCTCAGCTCTGGGGCTACCTGCAATCCATTTTTGCTCTGACAAAAGGAATTTGTCCTCATAAATTAGTGTTCTAAATTCCTTACTAATTAAATAACTGATGCATTTTAAAAAAACTTATGTTGTTTTTAGAATGAGAAAGGCAGAGATTATGTATGTGCAACAGTGAAGGTGCTGGGGAGAAGGGCGAAATGAAACGCATAGGGCGAAAGGGGATAATGGCCAGAAAGCTATAGCAGAGATGAAATTGTAAGGATGTAGTCCTCTGGTAAGTTTCCTCTTACCCTGGGAAGAAGCTAGTACAGGTTGTATTTCCCTTATCTGAGATCCTTAGCATCAGAAATATTTGGCACCTCAAAGTTTTTATGATTTTTGGAATATCCACATATACATGAGATTAATGAGATTTCTTGGGGATGGGACTCAACACTAAATACAAAATTTATTTATGTTTCATATATAACTTATATACTTAGCCTGAAGATAACATATCTTTAATGCGTCTGTGTTTTCACTACAATCTTTCACAAGAGGTATGTGTGGAATTTTCTACTTGTGGAACGTGAGTGTTCAAAAAGTTCTGGATTTGGAGTAATTTTGAGTTTGGCATTAGAAATGCCCAATCTGTAGGTGATGAGACAGATAAGAGAGATAAGTTCACAAAAGGCAGGAAATGAAAGAAATCTGTATCTGATGAACTCATTTTTCCCAAGGGGAGTGGGGTGGGGGCAGTGTCACAAATTAAGCATAATTAGGACTGAATAAGGACTACTTAATATAATTCCTCTATGGAAAGGAGCTGACTTGCAAAACTGTAAACATTATTGGACCTTAATAATTCCTGTGGTTAGAAACCTGATTTGTAATATTATCTATCAGCACAGATACGACTTTTTCTGATAAACCTTATCTGATTTGAGAGGCACAAAGAGGGAGAAACTGTAGTTCTCCCCTTATCCATAATTTCAATTCTTGGGGTTTCAGTAACCTGGCCAACAGTACTTTAAAAACATTAAATGGAAAATTCCAGAAATAAACATAAATTTTAAAGTATGTGCTGTCCTCAGTAGCTTGATGGCATCCTGTGCTACCTGTCCATCTACTCCTGGACTTCAATCACCTTTGTCCAGCTTATCCATACATTATCAGAACTGTGGAGCTGGAGCTTGTGTTCATATAACCCTTATACTGTCATTCACTTTGCTTCATCTCATCATACATTATACTGTCAGATATATTCTAAGAGAAAGACCATATTCATATTACTTTTATTATAGTACATTATCATTGTTATAGCATATGGTTATTAGTCATTACTGCCCATTACTTATTGTCTCTTATTAAATTTTATCAATGGTATGGTTGTGTAGGAAAACACAGAATGTAAGTAAGGGGTATCACCTGCGGTTTCAGGTATTCACTGGGGGTTCTGGAGCATATTGCCATGGATAAAGAATGCATACTAAGGCAAGTAAAATCTATGGAAAAAGAAGAAATCACTGAGGGGCTAACAATGTACTGGAGGAAAGGAAAGGGGCAACAGTACCATAAAAGCTTGTAGTAGTTAAAAGAACTGACGTGAGTAGCAGAATGAGGAGGTGAACAACATGTTTGGCTGATCTCTGCTAACCTAGAGTTTAGAATCTGGAAATAAATCAGGCCTACATGACTTAAAAATGTTCAGGATATGACCTCTAATGTGAGGGGTAGATAAAAAGAAAACTTAAATAGAAAAGGCCAGTAAAGCTACTGTGTTAAAATCTGGGCCATTCACAAGGCACAGATTGCTATTTCAAGAGAATGATAGCCTAAATTTCTAGAATAACGTAACTGTTATGTAATTTTTAATAAACTAGCTGATTAGTGAATTTCATTCAGTTTTACATCTTTGTTTAGACTTCATATAAACAAAGACTCCTCTTCTCATCCTTGTTCTTAAATCTGTAATATGAGGTCACAATTACCACTGCTAAGAAAACTATTAGATTCTTTTACAAACAATAAATGAAGTTTTTAAAAAGAAATTTAGTATCACATTTTAAAAACAACAAGTTAGGTTATCCTTCAAGGTTAAAATTCCAAATAAAATTAAAAAGTGGTCTCGAGTTTGTTTAACATGTAATATTAAACAGAATGAGGGGAGAAAAAATACAAAGTACACACCTGCCAAAAAATTTAGAGAGAAATTAAACCAGAAATCACTTTGCCAGGCCTTTTCAGGCTTAATCTTCATTCATACCTCACCATTACTGCTTTAGTTAAAAATAATACTGCACTTAGTTGACAGTAAGATAAATCTGCTTGAACTATAAATATGCTACAGATACACTGCACTGAAAAATAAGTGTGTAACACTTTTTGGACATACCACAGTTCTCCATTTATAAGAAAAAATAAGATTTATTCAGAACCATTTACAGTTATCTCAAACTAACATATTATCCAGTTCTGCAACTCATGCAATGTCAAAAATATTATTATTTCTTTAATCAAGTGGCTGCCTGTTGGGGCTTAATGTCTTTTCTTGCTATTGCATTTAGAGGTTAACTATTTTACATTTGGGGAGGTGTGATTACTACAGGTACTGAATGCATGAAAGATAAACCAATTCCTAAGTACCGAATTCTACTTCTCCAGCAGCTTATACAAAAGTTCTTAAAAAAAGAAAAGGCAAGTAAATGTTGGCATTAAGGCAAACCATACTTAAAAAGAATAATGTTCCAAGATCACTGAATGGTAAATGTCCCCAATGTCCCCCAACCTAGGTTGTGAGGCACAAGCAACTGATAGACTTTGGACCATCTACTTAGGAAGTCACTGCCTTCTAAAGGAAATAGTTCTCTTGTGAATCCTTAATTCTATACTCCTCTTCCATATCACATTCAGAAAGCTTTTCAAGTATCCTATGTTTTTGATCATTCAAATTCTTTTTCAATTATGAAGTCATTAATTATGTTTATATTACGTGGACTGATGCTGACTATAAAACTCCAGGATTTCAGAAATCAAACTCTCATCTTTCCTCCAAAAAGATTACTTCTTTACCAATCTTTCCAGTATCTATCTCTTCATATGCTAACCACTAGTCCTTATCTCACAAAAATGCTGACATCTGTTTTCCAACTCTGATGATTTTCCAAGGAATACTACCAGTTACACTGCTATAAGCCAAGCACAGAACTAGGCATTGTACATAGTTAACTGTAATTCTTTCAGTAAACCAATGAGCCCCGTTTTACAGATAAAGAAACTTATGTTCTGAGATACCCTAATTTAAACATAAATCCCTTTGCCTTCAGAATATGTTTTTACAGCTATGGTATATCTACAATGCTTCTTCACTTTGGATACTAATGCAGTATTTTATTTCTTTGCTGATTTCAGTGTAAATCCACTGACATTTCCTCAATATATTTACATAAAATGCTAAACAGTTCTACAAAAACATCAACTTCTGTTTTTAGTACAAATACTGTCGTTCTATAATTACGTTAAATTTGAGATCAAACAGCAATTATTTTAAAAGTCATAAAGCAAAACTCACCTAGTCAATACTTAACCATATGGAGATAACTTTCAAATCCTAAGACTTTAACATATGGTAAGAAAAAAGAATGACTTGTACAAATTCAGTATTCCACCTTAACCCTCTTTGAAGTGACTTACAAAACATTTATTTAGTATTTCTGTTGTCTCTAAGTGATTAGTATAAAGAAAATCCACCTCCTGTTAAAAAATCATTAACATGAGGGGCGAAGTATAGGTAGTAGACTTCCTTGAGAACGTGGTTAAGAATGTTAAATAGGTTACATTAAAGCAAAGTTATAGCAGTTCTAAGTGCCAGATTTTCTACTTTATTATATACTTTTTCCTTTTTTTTTTTTGCAGTATTGGGGATTGAACTCAGGACCTCGAGCTTGCCAGGCAAGCACTTATTCTACTGAGCTATCGCCCCAGCTCTAATTTATATTTTATGTCATTCAAAACCATTGGGGCTGGGGATTTAGCTCAGTGGTAATATGCTTGTCTACCAAGCTGGAAGCCCTGGGTTGGGTCATTGGCACCAAAACCAAAAAGTAAACCTCAACCTACAAACCATTACAACCAATGAATCAACCAAACCAGAAGCATTGCAAATATGTTCTCCTGCTTATGATGCTCTTAAATTATTTTTAAAGTCAGGGATTCTGACCACGTGGAGATGGGTTATACCAAACTGTTAAATACACTGTAAAATATACATATATATATATATATATATATATATATTACTTTTAACATCAAAATAGAAAACATAAACATCAAATTCAGCATTGTAAACATTTATGCACGCATGCTAAAACAAACACTATCGCTGAGGTATATATCCAATCCTGTATTTTTAATACACATTCACACAAGACCTTCTAAACTGTCCGATGCAAGCTGCATCACTTGACTGCTCAACTGCCATGAGGCAGCTGGTAAGCAGAAAAACTGAGTTTCAGACTTCAGTAACCTAGCAAGCTTTTGGTGTTAATTCACTTCCTATTTGCCCTTCAGCTGTACCTGTTGCCTCCTTGGGGGGGGGGGTTCAACTATACATGACATGCCTAGGAATAAAAATATCACCTATGTATCTAGATGCAGAAATACCCATTAAAATATAGAAAAAAAAGTGAAACACTAAATCATCTAAAAATAACATTTAAAAAACCCCAAATGGGCTCCATTTTTCATTTTTTGGTCACTGACAGCTTCTCATTCTATTGTTTTTCTCAAGCATACTTAATTTCACTCACATCTTTACAGCACTCTTCCAGGCACTAGTACTAGGCTAGTATGGTAGAAAAAAATTATCTTTTCTTAGGCCACACGCCGGGGAAGAGAAGACAAAACAACAATCAGTGCATTTGATGAGACATGGGTGTTACAGAGATTAAATTCAAAAAGGAAAGGAATGGGCGTGTATATTGGGGAGCAAAAAAAAAGAAAAGAAAAAAACCCCGTAGGATGTTACACATTCACCTTGCAAAGTTTATTACCCACATTCAACAGCTGTTAAACAAGTCATCAAAACACCAGATATGTGGGAAGAGAATTTACACACTCCTGACATTCTCATGCTTTCGTGTTTCAAGGAGTGCTCGGCACAGCTCTTCACAGCTCGATTTATGGTTCAGACTTTGCTTCTTTACCAGGGCGAAAAGGAAGAAAAGTTCAGTAACTGGTGATGCGACAAGAACTGGGTCTCGGCGCGCGCGCCCAGCGCTCCCCGCCCTCCCACCCGCGGCGGACTCCGGCTCCGCGGGGCCTGGCGCCCCCCAGTTCTCGCAGGAAGGGGACCCTGGCCCTCAGGGCCTGCGTCCCGGGGC